TATGCAACCAATGGGGGGCAACCGTTTCCTACCAAGAACAATATCAATTTGAATGTCTCTTTATCCGAAAGCGGTTTCTTCCAAAGAATTAAACGCAGTTCTTTTGGCCAACTGTCTATGTTGTAAACACGTCTCCATCGAGAAGAGAGACTATTTCCAGTCGTTTAAACCCTTTCATCATGAAATACGAAGCGTCTGCACCGCAGGCTAACTTTCACAACGCGCAAAACGATAAAAGTATATACGTGTAATTAAATGATGAGAAAAATCTGTGGTAATTTTCCCAAACTCAAAATAATGTATTTTATTTACAAACATGTACTTCATAAATAAACAAATACAATGAAGTGTTATTCACAACGTCAAACCGGTTCAGAATTTTTTCCCACAAATTTATTGCCCTTTATCCGGCCGAAAAACTCACAAAATTTGTGCACTCCGCCGGATGCAATTATGCCTAATCCCAATAAAATTAATAGGCAAAGCTGTCATCAATCTGGTTCTGTTCACAGTGGGTATATGAAAATTAGCATGTGACATTTAGTTCAATATTTGGAAATAAGTTACTATAGTCTTGTGAAATCCCGTGAAATGCAATACAAACATTTTATTATGATATAGAGCAGGTGAACATGCGATATTGACGGTTGGAACTTGCTTACAGAAGCCTGTACTCGTGAAGCTATTCAGTTATATCCTATATAGGTTTTATTTGGTTAGATTCTAAATGAGAATAGCCAGGAGATGTAGTTGCAACTCGCGCAGAAAGGCTTATTAATGAGTTATGAATATTTGCATATATACCCAGGGACGCCGGAACGATAATAGGGCAAAGGGGGGCGGACGCACACCAAGGGCACCTTTACTGAAAAATTTTTTCCGGACATACAAAAATTTTCCATGAAGCCAAAAAATTTTCCGCATATCTTAAATTTTCGCCATTTCTTCAAAATATTTTTCTAAATTCCAAAAATTTCCCAAAATTTTTATAAATATAAACTATAAATTACCTGAATCTTGTGATTTTCCTACAAAAAGCATCGTTGAAAATGTGATTTATCACGTATTATTTTACAACTAAAAGGGCACTTCTGCCCCCCTGCCCCCCCTAGCAAAAGGCAAGGGGGCAGCCGCCCCCCCTGCCCCCCAGTTTCGGCGTCCCTGCCTATATTGACACTATACACCTCATATTTTGTAACTAACTTTAAATATTGTTGTAAATAACTTTAAATATCTCATATTTATTTTATACACGCCCCTTGCGGAAATCATAGGTTTGCTCGAATGTGGCTTGTTTTTGGTTATTGGGGCCTTAATTTGAGACTGGCACTTTATTTTTCTACAGGTTACTATCCATCAACGACAGAACCCGCACATCATTGATGGGCCAATCATAGATCTGGCAATTTTAACAAAATCTAAAGTATTTATCGGAAACTGCGTGTCCTCATTTTCAGCTTTCGTAAAGAGAACTCGCGATGTGGAAGGAAAAGCATCTGGTTTTTGGACTTTTGACCCAAAAAGTTCTCCGAAAACAAAATCAACGAAGGAGGAGTTATAAGATTTTCAACGCACGTTGAGCATAACACTTAAGCCCCGTATAAACAAGCCCGTAGCTGGCTCTCAATTTCTGGGGGGGGGCACTGCAGAAAGAATGTAACAGAGGGGTTGGGATGATTCTGACTCGACCCCCCCCCCCGTCGACAACTTTTTAGGTAAAAAAAATTTCCGGACGTGTAGGTTGCAATTGCTTTCCAGGTACTTTATCTCAATTTTTCATACCAAATTTCGGTACTTAGCCCCCCCAAAAAATAACAACATTAACAGCTATTAGTTCTGCAAAACGTCTGCAGGGGCTAAGCCCCCGGTGTAAGATTTCTGGAGGGGCTCGAGCTCCAAAGCCCCCCCCATACTCTACGCCTATGACGTTATTTATTTTAGGCCACTAAAGCAATCTATTTTCATACAAAAATTGAGTATGACTATGAGCCTCAAGTATTAATCTTCTACGGTCGCTGTAGTACTCATAGAGATTATAAATAACACTAGAGGAGGCATCGAGTTTAAAAATTGGGAACGCAGCTAATGGGGG